AAAATACCTATAGTTTTTATGTTTTTGTGGATTTTTTATTAATTTTGTATGCAAAAATAATTATTATAATCTGATTTTAGAAACATACATTAAAATATCCAAGATTAAAATAATAACGTAATTAAAGAATAAAATAAAAACGTATGCTTGTACAACTTAGTTGAATTTAATACATATCCAGATGCAGACATGCTAAACTCTCTAGTTTAAAACAAGCCCTCATCCAAAGCGGTTACCGCGAAAATCACATCAATAGGAGCATCCACAGACATGAATCTCCCACTCAATACCAACCTAAAAACTCAGACCCTAATCAAATGAAAGCTTTTCTTCTTTACATCAAACGTGTCACTGACAAAATCGACAAAATTCGTAAATCAAAAGGAATAAAGACAATATTTACCCCCCAACAAAAACATTCGTGTCTTGTCAGATCAATCAAAGACAACATTTCAAATGAACAACACGGAGTTTATAAAATTCCTTGTGCATACTGCGCCCGATTTTACATAGGCCAAACAAATCATAGAATCCAACATAGGATTTATGAACATTGCACGTTTGTTCGAAATTCCGATTCAATTTCAGCTCTAGGTCAACACCATCTTCATACACGTCACAAAATTTATTTTGAAAACTCCAGAACCATAGCCCCCATCCGCATACATAAACCTAAGAATTATCCGAGAAGTCATAAGATTTGAAAAAAGTATAAATTGCCTTAATAAAAGAGTCTCAATACGGTTAGCTTCGACATGGAGACCTCTTATAAAGAAAATACCGTCCGCTCCACCCACCAATTACAATCCTACTGTCAGAAATTGTCGCACCAACCCTCGAGAAATTCCAATGCTAACCCACACGCAAACCTCCACCCAAACCACGTCACTATTGACGGTATAAATGAACCGTCCTCTATTCCCAGTAGCAGTAATGCTTTGGTTTGTGATCAGCGTAGTATTGTCTGAAGGCTCAGAAGACTTAGACCTCGGAAGCCCTGAAGAAGACATCAAAGAGGATTTCGAAAGCTCGGCGCAATTTTTCAATTCTTTTTTTTTTGTGGTCACTATTATTTCAAAATAATTTTAGATTACTGATTTTACTCTATGGCAGGATTTACTCAGGGCAGCAGTCAACAAAGTCAGAATAGAAATGTTAGTGTCCAACATCCCTAACAGATAGGCACCATAAGAAGAAGATTTTACTCAAAGAGTAGGCTGATGTACTCAATTGGTTTGAAATAATTTAACGTTTATTCATCGTTTAGTGTCATTCGTGCATTTTATCATAAAAACCTTCTTCATGTAAAGGAAAAAAAGGTAAAAAACCATAGTAACTCGGTTATTTTTGGTTGAATCTATTAAGTTTAATTAAATATTGTTTTTATTCGACTAAGTTTAAACACATATATGCTACCAATTCAACACTGCAATGAAGCCCAAGCAGCACAGATTGTAATTTTGTACAAGGAAGGATATACACAAAAATCGCACGGTGTCTCAGGAGAAGTCAATCTACAGTTTTGAATATTTTAAACAGGTACCATAAGACAGGCAATTTTGTACGAAGGATTGGTCAAGGACGCCCAAGGTGCACAACCGCAATTGATGACCATTTTTTGCTTCTTAATTCTACAAAAAATCACTCATTGACATCGATGCATCTCAGAAATGAGCTACTAAATGTGAGACAAGTTAATGTGTGCTCAAAAACAGTTAGACGAAGATTAAAAGAAGCAAACTGAAAGCCTAGACAGAAAGTTTCACGTCTTCTCCAAAATCATAAAGCTTGTCGTTTAGAATTTGCAAGAATGACAAGACATGTTCATTGGAATATCGACAACCAGAAAAATGTTTAACTGATGAGACATAAGCCAGATGGTCGAAACCACGTCTACAGAATAGTTGGAGAACGATTCGCCACCTGCAATCTTGCCCAGACCGTTAGTTTTGGAGGTGGTAACATAATGTTTCGGGGAGGTATTAGTTGGTAGGGACGTACTGCACTTGTGGAAGTGATTGGACAGATGACTGGTTACACTTACGTTGAAAATACCTTGCAAGATTATTTTTTCCAAAGGTTGGTTACATTGGATATGACAGCTTCATGTTAATGCATAATAATGCTCGACTATATGCCGCTAACATAGTAAGTAATTATCTTAATGAGATCCAACTTCGAAGATTGGATTGGCCACCATTTAGTCCGAATTTAAATCCAATTAGGCACACGTGGAATCACCTAAAATAACGCATACAAGAAGAAATCCCGTTCCAAATACGATAGAGCAGCTTCGGCTTGCTGCATAGGACGGATGGAACGTAATTTCCGAAGGCTATATTCAGAATTTACTTGCAAGCATGCCGAGATGGGTGCAAGCAGTAATAAAAGCTAGAGGGGGAATACTCGTCACTGAACATGACCTTATTTCAATTAAAAAGACTTGTTTAAGCAATTTAAGTTAGCATTTAGGTTCAGAGTAAAAAACCTTATTTACCTATTATTAAGCATTCTTTTTTCCGCAATTTTCTCCGCATAAAAACTTAAAATTTTAAACATTGTTAAAATAAACTCTTTTTACAATAAAAGATTTGATCGACCAGAATTTATTTCCAAAAGAAAAAAAATAAAATTCCTAAATATTCGATATTTTTGTCCATAAGGGCCGATTGTTCGAACGCTTATAAAAACTTGATTGTAATCAAATATTTAATTACAATCAAATACGTCACAGCAGCTGTCAAAATGATTAGAATTGCTAAATTTTATTATTTATTTGTAAATCAAAACATGAAATTAACATCAGAAAGAGTTTAATTATGGTTTATTTTAAATTAAAACGCAAAATAATAAAAATCAGTCAACATAACCTCAAAATTTGTATTTGATTTTAATTAAATCTTTAATTACAATCAAGTATTGATTAGCATTCGAACAATCGGCCCTAAGTGTATTACACTTAGCTCTAGGTTTAATATATATATATATATATATATATATATATATATATATAATATATATATATATTAATATATATATATATCTGTATATTAATATATATATATATATATATTAATATATATATATATCTGTATATGTATATATATATATATATATATATATGTATATGTATATGTATAAATATATATATATATATATATATATATATATATATATATATATGTATATTATATGTATAAATATATATATATATATATATATATATATATATATATATATGGTATTTATTAAATTTTCAATAAAATATACATTACCAACATTACCAAAAAACTCAAGTGGTAAAACCTAGTACTTTACTTTTTACCTAACTTCTTTTCCCATATGTGTGACATATTTTGTCTTTATTAAGTTGTCCATTGTGGCGTGAAGTTATCGTCGGAAAAACCTTTTAAAACTGCTTCTGTAAATCTCGATATTGGGGGAGATTTGTCTATTTTGATCGAAGAAAATAATGGTTCACACCTATAGGTACTTTCAAACATTTACAGGATTTTACAGAACTTGACCTGGTCCTAGCAATTTCGTATTTAGAATCGATAAGTGTTTTATGTATGCTTCTTCTTCTTGATGTGTCTGTCGTTACGAATGTTGGCGATCATCATGGCAATCTTTATCTTATCTGCAGCAGCGCGGAAAAGCTGCACATATGTTATATTGGACCAGATTCTGAGGTTCTTTAACCAAGATGTTCTTCTTCTTCCTGTACCTCGTTTTCCAAATATTTTTCCTTGCAGGATAGCTATGTATGCTATCGACAATAAATTAAGCTAAGGATGGATTTTTTACATGCGTCATGTTAATACGCATTAATACGTGTCATATAAATACCTATTACATTATTTTAAATAGATCTATACATTTTATTACAATGTAGAATAGATCACCAATACATATCCCTCATAAGATTCATCTATCAGCATGCTACAACCTGTGTAAGAGTTAATGAAGATACCTCTTTCGTATTGAAGAGCTTCGGCAAGGAGGCACATGTCTCCTAAATTATTTACAACGTTGCTAGAATACGCTTGTAAAACGATTGAAACGAAAAGGGCATCAATGTTGATGGACAATTTTTAAATAACCTTAAATTTGCAGATGATACCGTTCTTATTGCAGACAGCTTTGATCAGGCACAGATGATGCTCCAAGAACTCCATACTGCCACAAAAAAGTTGATCTTAAAATAAATTTTTCAAAAACACAATTTATGACAAATTTAGTCCACAACAAAAACATCTCAGTAGAAGACAAAGATATTGAGCCAGTTGACTTCTATAAATACTTGGGCCATCAGATCAGAATACGTCGAGACAACCAAACAATTGAGCTGAAAGGAAGAATAAACCTCGATTGGGCTGCATTTGGAAAGATGAAGGATATTTTTAGGTCTAAGATTTCAATGTGTCTGAAAAGAAAAGTATTTAATCAGTGTATTTTGCCAATGATGACCTACGTCGCAGAAACCCTAACACTCACAAGAACAACAGTGAGTGAACTACAAGTTACGGAAATAGCATTGGAGAGAATAATGTTAGGGATTTCTCTACGTGATAGAATACCCAATGCTACTATAGGCAAAAGATCACGAGTAGCAGACGTTGGACCGGTGGACAAAAAGAATTTTGGAATGTAGACCCTGAATACAAGCTAACAGAAATAGAGGTCGACTCCCAACGAGATGGACAGATTACATAAAAAGAGTTACTACAAATTGGATTCAGATAGCGCAAAATCGGACTAAGTGGAAAAGCACGCGAGAGGCCTATGCTCAGCAGTGGGCGTTGATGATAAGGCTAGTTGTTGATGATGATGATACATATTATTGTGATACACGTTATAACGTATGTTTTCAATGTCTAACGTGGTCAGATTTTTGTCAGAGTGTTACAGAATGTTAACATGAAGACATATATTGGCATATTTTCAACAACATTCATTGTTTACATTCGTAAAGTGATTTTTATTTTATTGCATTTCAGAATTACAGGCCGCTCTTTTCCTCCATAGTTGTTATTACAGCAATGAAGCAGCTAAAGCTACTATTGATACTTATTTTACTGTAAGAACTTTGTGTCCCGATATGTTTGGATCAAGAACCCTAAATCATAAGCCGTTAGAGGAAGCTATAGATACTGCGTAAGTTAATCTTTTTGAATTTAACAATCCTAACAAAAAAACACATTATGATACACCTACCTTTGGGATATTCTTTTATCATAATTATCTACCATTTTTGTTAGAACATAACAATATATTTAGTAATTTCCCATTAAAAATAAATAAAAATAATGTTATTGAAAATAGGCTTATTTTGAGGTTTCGATTTTCACCCAAATCATTCATAAAATAAAAAATTAAAAAATTATTTCGTTATTTTTTACTTATAAATATTATTCCATTACATATTGCATTTTATAAATTCTTCCATTTTAATTTTTAATTTTATTTGTCTCACTTATAATGACAATTTAGACGGATATTAAGTAAGTAAGTAAGTAGAGGACATTAAAATGATATTGTCAATATTTTTGGTGAGCATTCATGGGACGACTTTATTTATTATTATTATCATGATTCTATGAAATTAACTTCAACTCAAAAATACCTGTCAAAAATAATGGCATCTTTAAAAAAATACCACATCCAATCCTGACCAGAATAGGTTAAGATCCCTATAATAGTAGAACTTTATGGGGTCTGTTTTCCTATGCATGTCAGGAAAGGAAGACATACCATGGGTATGTCTTCCTTTCGTGAGTTACGAAAGGTGGTTTGCTACTTTTACTACGTGTTATTCATGTTCCGTAACAAACAACAGCCGATTATTAATTGCGGTCCGTCCATTTTCCCTGCAATTTCTCACTAGCTGTTCCAGCTCACTTGATGATAGTTATTCGGGATCATTATATGGGAGGTATGCTGATCCGAGAATTATCTTCTTCATACTTCCTCCCTCTATGGTGTTAATCTTTACCGTCGTTAAATACCTAAAATAAAGATTCATCAACGGTAGTATCGTTAGAAAGGTGACTGACAACACTGAACGAATAGCCAGACTGAAATGGATATGGGTATGATACATGGCGAGAATAACAGATGGTCGATGGACAAATGGGCTATTGGAATGGAAACGACGTGAGGATTAACGAAGCGTCCAACGACCACCAGCACAATGGACTGAGGACTTGAAGAAAATGAATAAAAGTGGGATGAGAGTGGTGCATAACAGATGGAATTAAATACAAGAGGAGGAAGCCCAATTTAGGAATAGATGTTCGCGACTGGATGGTGATGATAATGATAACAACTCCATGTTCTTTGTACTTTTCATATGCAGCGAGAGAACGTCAATATCATTCGTCACATCACTACGTTTGTCTTATGGGCAGCAAAAAATTTACAGAAAATAGTGATGATCTCCCATATTATTTAAAACAAACGTTTTAAAGAAATTTAACGGATTTTATATTTTATTTCGAATAAAAATCCCTGCCATTAGTAAAAGTAATATTGTACTGATAAAATTGTTACGACTTTAGTGTGAATTTCAACACTTATTTAAGAATATTATTTTTTAGTGTACTTACAGCTCTTCCAAAACAAACTCCATCGGGTGATACTGTAATTATAGGAAAGTTAATGGATGCAAACTCAGCTCATTACAATCCTCCTGAACAATGTAAACTATTCGATGTTATAACTTTACTCAATTTACACGAAAAAGGCCCAATGAATGGGGTTCAAATCATAATTGACATGAGCCAATCAACATTCGGGCATTTTCTCAAAGTTAGTCCTGTACTTATGAAAAAGCTTTTATATTATTTGCAGGTAAGTTGACAAAATACTTCTATATTACTAACTATGCTAACTACAGTACATTCAACCAACTTACACCTCTAAACGGTTAATGGAATTCCCAGAAAACCTTTCGTTGTAGAAAAGGAAACTGCACTCTTCATATTCTTTTGAATTACTTACTTTGTTTAAAATAATTTTTTCTGTATTATTAGTTAGAGTTAATTTGTATAAAATGAGGAGCAAAAATGTAAATGGAATTTTAAATATTATTGTTTATTTAGCTAATAATGAATGTATAAATAGAATGGTGAATCTGCTGTACAATTATTTTGCATCTAACATCGTCAATAAATTCACTACCGCTATCATTATGTAAATATATAATCACAGGATTTGTTTCACTAATTTTATTTTCCCGGATCCACCACTCTTCTATTAATTTTTCACATTTATATACAGTTTTGGCCCACATTTCTAGAGTTGCAGTTTTAAGAGCTTCTTGCCACACTTCCATAACTGCATCGTCACTATATCCACTGCATCCAACGTGATTATCATAACTACGTTTTACATTTACCCCAGATGTGTTCGATGGAATTTAACGATCAGTGATATGGCGGTAACCGTAGTACTTGTTGTCAATACCTTGATACAATTCGGTCAAGTATATAAACTATTTGTTTTTCATTACGTTTAAAAATTTCCAGTATCTCTGATTTGAAGGCGTATTCCGGAAAATTGATATTATTTTTAACAAACCAATTTTTTGTGCTCGGTACGGTCCACGACTGTTTTAGTTGTTTCTCCAAAATCTCCGAATGTTAAGGTGCATTATCCAAAACTATAACTGACGGTTCGCTCAGACTCGGCAACAGTTTCTCCTCAAGCCATTTAATAAACATATCTGCATTCATGTTTTCATGGTAATCAGCAGATTTTGTTCTGAAGAAAAAATCAAATCTGCGTTTTTTATACAGCCTTCTTTCCCTTCCGCATGAAAAATGATGTGTTTTTTGCCTTCGCTATCTGTGAGTTTTATTGATTTTATGCTGCACAGTTATTCAAAATTGCGAGTTTATTTGTTGTTACAAAACAAAAGAGTTAAACATAACAAAGGAGTGGCTTTGGACGTTGAAGCGTGGCACTGCATGTCCTCAGCATACTTTTGATAACATCGTCGGTTAGTCGATTGCGATATTTTGACTTAATTATCTTCATTTCAGAAAATGCAGACTCGCACAAGTAAGTTGACCCAAAAAATGCCGTCAGTTGAAGGGCGATTTGCCTTACATTGGGATATTTATCTTCAGATATAAAACGCCAGAAATTTGTATCAGATACTGTAGCTTTGAGATGTATATCTGATATAATCTACACCAACTCATTTTCAACAGAACATGAGTTCATATTAAACTGACTTGCTATTTCAGTGGCTAATTCCTCAATGTTTTTACATGAAAAAGGATAACTCATAAATGATGGTATATTTTCCAATTTACTGCAATCATAAAAACGCATTTCGAATTGTCCCAAAATATTTGATAATTCAGCCTCATACGTATCATAATTCAACTGAGGAATCCTTGCTTTCAAAGACGGAAAATGTTTCAGATCCTTTCTTTTCAGTTGATCTATCATAAGTTGCAATTTATTTTTGAATGCGTTTACTGCGCTAATCATCTCAATAATAGTTTTTCCTTTACCTTGAAGCTCCAAGTTAACGGTGTTTAAGTGCATTGTGATGTCAGTCAAAAATGTCAAATCATTTAGCCATTTTTCGTTTTTCAAAATCTGAGTGTCATCACCTCTTTCGTCTAGAAAAGCTGTTATTTCGGGCAATAATTCTTGAAACCTTTCTAGGAATTTTCCGCGACTCAACCATCTGACGTCCGTGTGAAGAACTAAATCAGTGTGTTCAGCTGACTCCCTATCTTCCAACTGCAACTGAAAGAGCCGCCGTTGCAAGCTACGTGCACGGATGGAATTCACAATTTTTGTTGCAATGCCCATAATTTCCTTCGTGTTTAAAACTTTTGAACACAAAACTTGTTGATGTATAATGCAATGGGATGAAAAAAATGAAGGGAATTCTTCATTAGCTCGACACAATGCCACAAAACCGTTTTTGTTTCCAGTCATGCTGGTGCTCCATCGGTTGTAATGCACATTAATTTATATATTGGTAGCTCGTAGTTTTTTACAAAATTTAAGAAAACGTCATTATATAATATCTTCGCCACGGGTCTTCCCCTTCAGAGGAATGATTGTCAAAAATTCTTCCTTAGCCAACATGTCATTGAACACCATCCGAATAAAAATACACAGCTGGGTAGTGTCTGTCATATCGATGGATTCATCGAACTGTAAAGAAAAGTATGTACATTCCATGATATCATGTTTTAGTTTATCTGCGATGTCTTGACTCATGACTTCAATACGCCTTGTGACAGTCGGACGAGATAACTGAAGTTCTCTAATAGCAGACATGATTTCTGTTTTATTTTTAAAATCTCCAAATAAAGTCTCACCCGCTTCAATAAATGCTTCCTTCACCACCGATCCATCTTCAAATGGTTTCTTGTGTTTCGCCAAAATATGAGATATTTTAAATGACGCGATCGTAGCAGCTTTTGATTGTTTGGCTGGTCTTGTGAACATGGATTGTTCTTTTTTCAAACAAGATATCAAATCACTTACTTTTCGTTTTCTTAATTCACTCTGTGGCGGAAAATCCTTTTCATAGTTTTTATGAACCATTTTATGATGCCTCTCTAAGTTACCACGCTTAGGTATTGCAACTGACGCACGACAAATAACACAAATGCACTTATCCTTCACCATAGAAAAGAAAAATTCTTCGTCCCAATCCTTATTAAAATGATACGTTTTAGATTTCTGCACTCATTTTCCACTATTAAATAATAAACTTTGTATCGACGTAGGATCGCTATCAAGTTACAATTCAGAATAACTCCAATTCCTGCAGGCGCAACATTTATATCGGCGTGAACGAAAGTCTCGAATGTTCCCGTCAAACGCGCTGCCCGAAACTAGACTGTACTGTCGCTCGTCTAGAAACAACACGGCTTTTCTTTGACAAGTGCCGCGTGTTCCTTTGATAAAGCACCCTTTTGCCGCAAGCAGTGTTATTTTATTACGTAATACATTTTTGTAGTTGATAGAATATCATCCCAAATTTGATTAATAATTATAATAAATATTGAATTAATAAAATAATTAGTTAATATATGTAAATATAAAATATGCTGTGTGGACAGTATTTTGTTGTTCCCACTTATTTGAATTTTTTTTTTTTTTTTTTTATTAACAAAATCGCATCAGCCAAATTGGCTATTAGCGAACAATCATTTTTATTACATTTATAACATTAGTTTATATAGCATTTAAAATATTAAGTGAGGATAAGAAACTTTTTATGTTTGAAATATTGCACTGTAAACCTAAAATGTCACTTAGTTTGTTTGGTATACTGTACAATATGCGCTTTGGCGTTAATGCTGGACATTTTTCCAATATATGTTTGACTGTTATTTTTCATCACAGTTGTCACATCTTGGTTCTTGTTTTATTAGAGAATACGTAGCTATTCGTTAGTCGCGTATGACCCAGTCGAAGTCGCGTTAATATTACCTGGTCTCTTCGACTTGTTGGTAATGTGGGCCAGGGTTTAATCGATTTTTTACATCGCGTAGCTTTGTCGATGACACTTTCCACTTTTCATTCCACATGTATCGCACTTTTAAATTTAACCGTTGCTTTCACGTCCGCACTCGTAAATATCTTAGTACATTCCGCACTATCACTACTTGCAGCTTCTTTTGCAGCGTTGTCTGCCTCTTCAATTTCCTGGAATTCCAATATGGGATGGTATCCAAAATAATATAATATTTTTTCCATTCAGTTGAGCGGTGTGGATTTCTTCTTTTATCTTGATGACTAAAGGATTAGTTGGGTAGACATATTGGATTGATTGGACTGAACTTAGAGAGTCTGTGAGTATGATATAATTGGTGTTATTGGATGCATTGACAGCAAGGGTAGCCTGGTATAGAGCATACAGTTCAGCAGAGTAAATGGAGTACTCTGAAGGGAGTTTATATTTATTTGTCGATGTTGGGGTTATGATTGCAGCACCAGTACCTTCATTTGATTTAGATGCATCTGTGTATATATGTGTATAGTCCTTGTAGTTGTGAAGCATATCGTTGAAGGCGGATTTGAATAACTGTGGGTTGTTGAATGTTTATCGAAAGAAATGAGGCGGGTTAGGCACTGAGGATTCTTTATTTGCCATGGAGGAATTGAGGACAATTGGGAAGAAAAGCATTCTTGGATATTTATTTGAATTGCAATGATGCTTAGTCAAGCATTCTATCTATTTGTATAGTTCAGTATTAATAAAAACGTTTAACTCTGCTGACAGTAGTTTAGTTACCTACCTACTTATTAAATTTTTTTTTCTTCTCGAGATCTACCCAAAAAGCACTCGCTATCGACCAGTCGATCGCGATCAACAGTTTGAGCACCCCTGGTTTAGAGGTTTAAGTTGGTTGAATGTACTGTATAATACTAAAGTTTTGAGAACTATTTCACGGTAATGTTTTAATAAAAGAATTTAATTTATTTAAACTATACTTTTATAGGCCTATTTGAACTATACTTAAATAATAGGCCTGTTCGATAACTTTGCGGTTCAATAAGAGAGGGGTTTGCTACTATTAAAAATTTGTGGTTATGTTGGTACAGTCAACATATGAAAGTGTGTAACATCAATCTGTCAATTCATTCTTTGTTTAAAAGTCCTTTAATATCGACGTGTCGCAGATTTTTTTACAATGGAAAAAATACATAGTATAGTACAGTGATTGAATTTTTATTTTTGAAAGGTTTTAAAACGAAGGAAATTTATGAACGAATGTTGAAAGTGTATTAGGACTCCTCGACTTTCATTAGTACAGTAGAAAGGTGAGTTGCTCAATTTAACTGTGGGTGTATAACTGTACAAGCCACGTCAAGGACGCCCAAAAACATCAACAACACCAGAAATAGTTGAAAAAATACGGGATATCGTATTAAAAAATTGTCCAATAAATGAAAGATATTTAGTAGAAGCCCCAGACACTTAATTGGAGAGTATAAGCAATATTTTGACTGAAGTATTGGGTTTCAGAAAGCTGTGTTCACAATTCGTGCCGCATTCGCTAACAATGGAATAAAAAAACACATTCGAATGTGACTTTCTCAACAACAATTAGAGCATTTTCGAAGGGATAAAGTGGATTTTGTCCATCAATTCATCACTATGAATGAGACTTGGATCTATCCTCATGGTCCTAAATTAAAATAAGATGATAAATAGTGGTATGGACCTAATTCTTTGGCTCCGAAACGAGTTCGTCTTCAGAAATTGGCAAAGAAGGTATTAGCATCCGTTTTATGGATTGCGAAAGGAATTTTATTTGTGGATCACTTGCAAACTAATAAAACAATAAATTCTAAATACTATTGAAGCCTTTCAGACAAGCTGACGAAAAAAATCGTACGAAAGACCCGGTTTGCAGAAGATAAAATGACTTTTTTGTCATATGAGCATTTTGGCAATGGCTAAAAACCATGAACTTAAAGTCCAAATTGTTGGAGCATATACTGTGTGTACCAGATTTGTGTACTAGATTTGTTACCCTACACCAAAATGTAAGTTTCTAACTCCAGTTTTCTTGCTTATAGGTCGTTTCTTTTGCTTTAGTACCCACTTTTCCTACTGTTTCTGTTGTTCTTTTCCTGGTTTCAGTTTTTTGACCTCTTCAGCTTGTTTCTTAAAATTTCTTTTCTAGTTTTATTTCTAATTGAAATTTAGTAAAAATACCTCTGAAAAGAATAGTAAGTGTAAACGTTCAATTAGATGTCGAACCTCTTAATGTGATAGCAATCTATGCATCAGAAAACAACACAGATATCACCACAAGGGAAAACTTCTACGAACACCTTCAGACTGTAATAAATGAAACCCCAAATGATGAATATATAATCATTATGGGTGATTTTAACGCCCGTGTTAACAATGATATAGTTCCAGGAATACAACAGGGATAAAATATCAGAAATAAAAATGGAGACCTTCTAACGGACCTCTGCAGCATAAACGAGATACGTATTAATAATACATTTTTCCCTCACAAAGAACAATACAAATACACTTTTGAAAACAGTAGAGGACAAAGATCTATGACAGACCTTATTATGTCGAATAGAGAGAGAGAATAAAGAGATATAGAAAGCGATCATAAATTGGTATTGTGCAAAATCCGAATGAAAACACATATATGTGATAACAAAACACCAGAATACAACACAAAGATAAAAGTCGAAAGCTTACAGGATGTTTCCACAAAATACCTATTCCAAAACAGAATAACCGAAAAAAGCAGATATGCATATATCACAGAAAGTGATAGAGTCGATATAAATAAAAATAAATCGTTCCCAAGGCGAAAAAGTCCATGGTTTTCTACATAAGTGATACAAAAAATCAAACGACGCTAGAACTGAAATCACCAGAAATTACCACAACAAGATACGGGAAGTTCGGAAAATACTTGAAAACATGAAGAACAGAAAAACAGCAGGTAAAGACGGGATACCCAACTAAAATATTGTGGAGCAGCAATGACAGAACAATTAACAACATTTATTCATAAACTACACAATAAAAGCGAAATAACTAATTCTACTATTCAAAAAAGGAGATAAAAACAGCCAGAAAATTATAGAGGTATAAACTTGTTAAATACTACCCACAAAAACTTACAACTAAAATTTTACAAGTGGTAATAATTCAGAGGAATAAGGTTAGCAAATGAACAACAGGGTTTTCGTAGTGGAAGATCGTGTACAGATGCAAGATTCGTTATGCAATACAGATGCAATATTCGTGTAAAAGCAAATTACTGAGAAATCACTAGAGTATAATAGACCAGGATTTCTGACAGAAGAAGACTCAAAGATGTAATCCATCTTCTGTATAATAGATCTTTAGTCTTTAGATATGGCTATCGATCTTTAGTTTGTCACGTACAGTGGTTTCTAGAATATTGAATAATAATCGATCTACTTCTCGTATTTTCGCCCAGATCGTATAGCAGTGATGGCAGCTTTTAGTTTATCTTTTGTCCATTTTGATCTTTCGGTTTTCCGAATGTAAGCATAATACATTTGGGAATCTAAAAAGAATACAAACACTATCAGCAAAATTCTCACACGGGGTAACACCGCGCAGCTGCGCGTTATTCCCATAGTTGACTAACCTAACTTAACTTATCACTGTTCGTTAATGACTTACAATGCATTGTTTTTGTATGTAAAATTATCTATAAATATAAAGAAAAATAATCATGGAATAGTTTTAATGAAAATTAATAACAAAAGCACTTACTACTTTTTAAAATTTATTCAAAAATTACATCAATGTCTTGAACGTGTTGTCTTCAACAAACAATCAGCCACTTTGTCTAAACCAACACTACAAATGCAGTTATATTACCAACATGTGGTCGGCTATTAGGTACAGCGAATACGAGACTGCGCGCTGTCTTGAATGTTAAAATACTTCTTCTGATGCGCAGAGTTCCCCCGGTCATCCCTATATTAAGCTCTTTTTTGATCGGTCTTTTTAATTTTGATACTGAAATCAGTAGATTTTGCGGTGTTGTCAGATTTTATATCACTGACTGCGATACGAGTACTATTAGCTTTGGCTAGTTCAAATTGTTAAATGTGAGAAATAAATAGTTACCCCATTATATTATTAATCGCTGAATTTATATATTAATTATATTGTATTTTTTAGGAAGGAATGCCTATACGACTAAAAAAGATACACTTAATCAATATAGTCTCATTTGTTGATAAAGTTTTAGCTTTAGTGAAACCTTTTATGAAAAAAGAACTTTTTGACTCTGTAAGTATGTTCTTTAATATCACAATACATTTCTTTAATTTGTTTTTATTTACAGCTAGCTATTCATTCTGAAATCAAGACACTTTATACAGACATTCCCCAAGATATACTTCCTGCAGAATATGGTGGTAGTTATGAATCTTGCACGGTTATACAAGGTAAATTATTACACACACAAACACACACACATACACACACACACACACACAACACACACACACCACACACACATAAATAAAACACTTTTTCTGATTGTTCTGTTATAAATAAAACACTTTATTATTGAACTTTGAAAAATAAGGCTATTATCGAGCACAAGTTTAATTAAATCTTGCCCAAGTACTTTCGCTTTAAAATAGCATCTTCAGGGGCATTTCGTCAAATATGAGCTATCCAGCAAGCGTAGAAGTGAAAACAGAGTAATAACATAAATTGTACAAAACACTACACTAAAACAAGGACAAACTGCTTGTCCTCTGCAATCCTCTGTCCTCTGCAAATCATCAGCAATGTCTACTACAGGTAGTAATTTTTTGTAGCCTTTCTTTTGCACGTTTGAGACATTTTTCTGAGGAAATAAAATACATTTTTAAATGGCAAGTTCAGGAAGGAACGGAATTTTCTTTCAAGTGAGAATCTTTATCATCAAAGTTTTCTCCAATAGCTGCCAAATTATAATTATTTTCAAAATTGTGGAAAATTGATGAACAACTTTAAGCAGTAGATGATCCTTCACCATATATGCATTATCACAAGAAGATGGATATTATGGCAATTTATCCGCGATGTTTTCTTTATTGCTAACTGTATCTTCTACGTTTCAGGTGTTTGTTTTAAGATTCAAATGTTTAATTTTTAAAATTTCCACGTGAAATGTTCGTTGTGGGGGAAATTGTTCACAAATGATGAATTGCCCAATTTGTCACTGTCATCAATAAGTTCGTCTGATATGTCATTATATCTTTTATTGAATAGCTGGATCTGTATTAAATCTAAATGCTTAATTGTGTCCGGTAGTAAAAATATGTGATTTGTTTCTCTCTCTTATATGTACACGCCGCAGCCTGAGCCCCATCATGTCATGAGCGCTTCAATAACGATTAAAAAACAATGTTTTAAACTGAAATAGACCCAAAATACTTATCGGAAAATAATGGAACAAGTTTTGAATTTGAATTTAAGTCCGTGGTGATTTCAAATATAATGTTTTTTACTTGTGTTTTTGAACCTAGAAAAACAAGTTTTTCAACAAAGAAAATTACAGAAAACCTACAAGAAACTTATTTTGTTCAGAATGATTAAATAAATTCAAAAACAAATTGGATGAAAAAGTTAATTGTTACAATTTGTTGAAAAACTGTTGCACATCTTGGTGAAAACTGGGCAACCTCTTGAACCTTATATTGGGGTATCTCACAAAAGTGATTATGAAAAAAAATTTCATGGGTATATTTTTATGAACAAACCCGAGCTTTTCGCCTTGTCTAAAAAGAGTTTTAAATTTTTTTAATATGACGAATTTAAATCACGAATTTGTAGAGTATATTTATCGTACTGTGAAAGTCCATACGCTAAATAAAATAAAAATAAAAGAGGCCGTGGATAGGTAGTTTTACCTTATATATACATAATGCGTCTATAATGCTGTTAAAGATTAAAAAAAGAAAAAAAGTAAAACCCAATATTTAAAGAAAGTCTAAGTGAACACTCGAACTAAAGTAAGATGGCATACTTTAAAAGTTCTTTATTTAAATTATTAAGATGTCTGTAAAAGATATCAAAAAAATCCCGCATAGTAGTTATAAAGACAAACGGATGTCTTCAAAATTAACACCTTATATACGACGAAATGAAAGAACACACATACATACCTAACTGGTTTCAGATTTCATATTTATGAAATACAAGGTTATCATGATAAATATTTCAAATTCAGTAATTATATTTACGCATTTTATTACCTTACATATTTAGGCTGACCTTCTCTTATATTTAGTCCAGGTCATTATCTTTGATGCTAATGTAACTGAATGTATGTATAAAATAAACTTCAGATTCATACTTTTTTAAAAAGTAAAACAATTAATTTTTGGTTTTTTAATAGTTTATAGAATAAACCAAATCCACATATCCAATTTTAAATCTCTGGTTTGGTTACTTTAAACCGCCCTAAAAATACCACCCTGAAAACTAATATCAATACTTATGAACAATCGCATTGACAATAAAATCATAAATATAGTGCAAACATTATATTGGAACCAAAGTGTAATAGTTCAAATTGATGGGCAACACTCAGAAGAAATGAAGATCTGTAGAGTAGTTAGACAGGGATGTGTTTTATCGCCACCTTTGTTTAACTTATATTCTGAAGAAATTTTCCAAAACACGCTCAATAATATCAAAGCGGGAGTCACCGTTAACGGAAAACTAATTAACAACTTCCGATATGCAGACGACACTGTGATCATAGCAACGAGTATAGAGGATCTACAACATCTTATCGAAAGCTTGAGTATGAATAGTGCTGAGATGGGAATTACTATAAACGCTAAAAAAACGAAGTACATGCTAATTAGAAAAAGACCACAAAATATACATCATCTATTGACAATCAATGTGGTAGCGGGTAGGTACTCTTCCACAATCCCAGTGGAGGATAGACTTACTTCAGGGATGCGATCCTGCCCTACGCGAGCCTTGATTCTCTCTCAACTCCTGTGGAGAGAAATCATGTCCTAACCCCATTATTTTGACAATATTTTGATGTAGAAGTTATAAATACGGTATGTTTAATAATTAAGAAGAATAGTAAAAGGAAAAAAGCTTACTTTTCACAAAAACTCACACAAGGAAGATATTTGGACCTATTATCGAAAACGGAGTATGGAGATCCAGGTACAACCATGAACTCTACCAACTGTTCAAAGAAGTACCGATCTCAAAATTCGTTAAACTTCAGATATTTTAAGAGAGAGGGAGAAGAGAGGGAGAGAGAGAGAGGGGTGAGAGAGAGAGAGGGAGAGAGAGGAAGGGAGAGAGAGAGAGAGAGAGGGAGAGAGAGAAAAAGAGAGAGAGATGTTTAATTATTATTGAGTCAGTACTTAATACTCAACCATACTCATACCCCTCCTGTATTTTTTAGTGACTTTCGCTAGGAATAAATAATAAACTAAACATAAAATGCGTTGTGCAGTAGCTGGTTGTTTGAGTGATAATCAGACAAGAAATGCCGATAAATCTGATAGGTTTTATAGTTTTCTCAAAGACTCGATAGTGGAAAAACTGTGGGTTACTGCTTGTTGCCGTGAAGACAAATTTAATACTAAAAGCTTAAGGACTTATTCCAAAAAGTTTAAGCCGAAAGATTTGGAAAGAAATTTGCAGCATGAATTGCTGCAATATATATCAAAGAAAGGGCCTAAGCTAAAGGGTGATGCTGTTCCTTTTTTTCATCTGCCACAATTTAAAAGTTTATTCATAAATCAACTTTAAAGGCAGGAACGGCTGTCCAAAAAAGTCGAAGAGGATTGTGGAACAGATATTTACACAATCTCTTTCTTTGAGAAATTAAACGTAATGCTTATAAAGAAAATATGAGAAATAAGAGAAATTAAAGAAAATTGCAACTTAAAAGCTTGTGGTTTATTTGTTTTGTCGATTATATTACAGATAATTTACTGATCAATTATTTTCATCTGTTTACTTGCAACTAGACGAAGCCTCGATCCCCTCCTTGAGACCGGAGCCAAATAAGACATGCCAATCAAAGGAGAGCTCGTATAAGAGCTAGGGTTAAAAAGGGAAGAATACAAAAAAAAGATTTAAATAAAATTCACAGAATCATCTTACAGATTTGTTTGTGTTCACTGTATTATTTATTAATTCTTTTCAATGAAAATAATAAAACACTTATATCTCTTTGTACCATGGGTCTACCCTAATAATCAAATCAAGAACAAAACCGTTGAAAAATCTAAAAATTATTGTAGCTTTTTTGGAGGGCTACATAAAATGCCACTGTTTCCACTGTTCGTTTACAGTTTTAATCTATATTACGAAATTATTTAATTTTTTTAATTACACGCTTATTCTTTTTCTTTTTTTTTAGAAAATATTAAGAACAAAATAAGAGATTTTGAAAGCCTTTTGAAATTTCAAGAAAATCAACTTGTGGACGAATCCAAGCGACAAGGAGCAACCAAAAACGCCGAAGATCTGTTTGGAATCGAGGGAAGCTTCAAAAAATTAGAAGTAGACTGATTCGGGTATATATTGTTTACTATGATCTCTTTAAATAAAAGTAATAAAATAATAACAAAAAAGGGTGATTGTAGACCAAAGTATGTGCCAGATATTTTGTAGATCATATAATAAACGTTATTAAACACGTATAAATATTAAAATGAGAGCATTACTTTTTTTTTTGGAAGACTCTACCAATTGTACTGCAGATAATTGGCTTATTTGACAAATAACAGAAATAAGTAAGTATTACTTACTTATTCCTATACAGTAATGCTTACTTATTCCCATACATGGTGTTTAAGAAAGGGAATTCCAGAAAATCTTAATAAATTCTAATAAATCGACACTTTTATTCACTAATAGGTGGAAATTAACAATTCAATCTCCAATCACGACTGAAAAAACATTATCATTATCGGAACGATATTGATATCTCTAACGAAATATTGTCGCATATAATTAAAAGAGGATCACTCAAAAATTAGAACAACATTGAATATAAAAATATTCATAAAGACATTTGTAAACAGATTCATAAAGCCAAAGAGCATTGGTTAAAAGATAGAGGCATATAACTTGAAAATGACAACTTCAACATACACAGGTTAGTAAAAGAATTAACAAGTGGAATAAATTTTGCAGCCTGAACAACATAGTAAAGGACAATGATATTATTTCTGACCCTAAGACACTTTTCCATCACTGGAGAACATATAACCAACAACTCTATGAAGAGAATAACCACCGAAACCTTGCAAATGAAAATTAAATCTTCTCCAAAAATACTTAAGTCCGAAATCCTAAAGGCAATAAAACAAATTTAATAATGAAAGGCAGCAAGAAAAGATGAAATACACATAGAAGTAATAAGACACCAGAATTGGATCAACTAGCTTCGTAGCTACTGAAGAAAGGAGGAGACGCATTACTAAAAATAATGCATGAACTTATAACAAGGATATGGTCGAGTAACTACAGCGGAGTGGAATAATAGTTGTATTATTGTTATAAATACAAAACGAGACCCTTTGAAACTAGGAAACTACCGTGGAATCATGCTGTTAAACGCATCATACAAAACAATGCCCAACGAGGCTTAAACCTGTAACGAAAATATTTTGCCTGCCGCAGGGTAAGATTATGTGGGTAAAGATAGGGCAAGCAAACACTTGACAGGAATTAAAACGCATAAGATTCCATTTCTACGACGTACAAAAATTATAAGGCGACTTCGAATAAAACATTAAAAGAAAATGCCGAGAAAGTACACATCTTTAAAATAATAAACAACTCTAAAATGGTTATTATTACTTGGCAACGCTAAAAAATGAATTGAAAGAATTCGGTGTTTTAATACGTACGAATCGGAAATTGAAACACATTAAAAACACTCTTCGATTTTTCAAACATATATGAGGGGATTTCAATATATTACGTATACGAGGGGATGTCAATATACACCAAAGAATCAATGAAATTGCAAATGCTACAAACCACACTAGAGAAAAATAGTTAGCAAATATAAATATGGTTTCTACAGGTAGAAGCCAACAACAGATTAGTTATTTGTTCTACGACAGATCCTCTAAAAAAACAAGAGAATATAACATCAACATACATCAAATCATCACTTCATAGACTTCGAAAGCCCGTATGACAATATAAACCGCAAATCCTTAACACAAACAATGAAAGAATTTAATATAGCAATACAATTAATAATACTGACAAAAGAAACTTTACAAGTAGAAATTAAATTCCGATTACAAAACGAATTAACCGAAAGATATAGATGTAAAAAACGGGACTACGGCAGAGAGAAGCCCTATTATGTATTTTGTTTAACATTATACTCGAAAAAATAATAAGGGACGTAACAGTCAATATTCGAGGAATGAAAAAGATTAAATTGTATTGTCAATAATAACTGATAAACTTGGTTTAACGACTAGATTGGAACTAGTTATAAAAAATATCAAGTATTTATGTGTATTGCCTGCCCCTTTACTGGTCCGATAGAGGAGTGAAGGGCAACTCATATTAGGGACGGCATTGCACAATGTCTAGAATATTCTCCTTACACTGAAAGGCTCCTTTCAACCATCTAGAGGGAGTGGGCATATTTTGTTGAATCTACGTTTGATAATACCAGTGGAAGTTTTAATTAAAGCTATTCGAATGGTATTTCTTTCATTTCTAGAATGTACACTGATTATTTAGCCTAGCTGCCAATAAGTTGGATTAGGGTTGTCGTCATTTATAAGAACCAAGGCTCCATCTGTAAGATATTCTTGATTATTGTTTGATATTCTTGACTATGGTCGTTAGGATTTGGACTAATGGGGAAAAGAGGGCGTGAGTTAAAAATTGTCTCTATTTGAATAATTCAAGTTTGAAATTATTCATAAATAAGTGCAATTTTTGACTAAACTCGTTTTAGATACACTTTTGAAGATTTTACTATGGCTTCTCAGAGTACACCAACATGAGGTGAATAGGAAGGTATAAAGTGCCATTCATTTGCTAGATAATTTAATAATGTTCATAGTTTATCTCTTATTGCATGTGAATTTAGAAGATATGCCAATTCTTGTTGAGCATTTATGGTATGCGAAAAATTTGACACCACGATTTTGGGCACTGCAATTATCTGCCCAAAATCCAATCTGCCAATTTGAATTTATAGTGTGTCTCGGCTATTTTGTAAACAAGCTGGATTATATTGTGACCCGGAATTTTTAGAAAATCATTGCAGGTAAAATATTCACCCTTACAAAATTATCAAGTATGGCGTCCAGACATAAAAATTTTTATTGTCTTCGCAGCCCGAGAAACCTGATATAATTTATTATAATTTGTGTTGGGTGAAATATTATTTTTGTAATTTAAAGAGTATACAAAATTGGCTCGCCCACACAAAAATATCAGAAATTTATCCAAGGTAGGTGATTCAGTAGTATTACTAAGCGTTTGTCTTTTCCAGTTGCTTAGAGATGCGTTCTCAATTTTTTGACAAAACCAAAATATTAGCAGACAATTCCAATTTTAAATAGGTAATGTCAGGTGAATGTTGGAATTTATCATGCGAACCCTTGTGAATAGATTCCAAAAGAAATAAAGTACCTATATGATCATGTAATAGCCTTTTAATATTATTGAATCATTCGCACAACGTATAGTGGTATGGCACCCTGCAAATAGAAAAACTTTTCAGTATCGGTTAGTCTATCGTTTTGGTAGATAATGCTAGAAATTATGCCCCGACATTCGAGCCAGTGCTCATAATTTCCATTGAATTTATTTATGGCAATTTTAAGGTTGATTCAGACCAACAGCCCCGTCACAGTCAGATTTTGTCTGTGGTCACAAGTTACAAGTCACAAGTTTAATTTTCTGGTTATGGATAGTTTGAATTCTATACAAATTGGATGTAGGTGCGTTAATAATCTCAGAGTATAATGGATGCTTTTTATTGGAAGATATTCTTGCTGCATAATTTAAACTAAGTAGATGTCGTCTTAGATGTAGAGGGGGTTCTCTTGATATTACTTGTAAGCTGCTTACAGGACTGGTTCTGAAAGCACCGACGGCTAATCTTAGAGTTCTTGTTTGAATTGTGTTAAGGTTTTTTAGGAACGTTTTATTTGATATATCGTAGCATATTGCACCGTAGTCCAGTTTACTGTGAATAATTGATTTGTAGAGGTTAAGCAGAATACTAGAATCCGCTCCCCATATATTACTGGATAGAATTTTCAGCAAGTTTATTAAATTTTGACAAGTTAGTTGTAAATTCGTAATGTGAGTTTTCCAGTTTAATTTATAATCAAACGTTAGGCCCAAAAAATTCGATTCCTCTGAATGAGATATATTTTGACCGTTAAATATTAACGAAACAGGAATGGTGTTCTTGCGTTTGCTGAATACTGTGTAATGTGCCTTTAGTTGAAAAGAGGAAGCCTGTTTTGAAAACCATTCTTCGATTTTGTATGTAATATTTTTGCATTTAATATAGACAACTAAATCATCAGCGTACAAGTTTGCTTTAAACATAAAGTTGGGCTTAAAGTAGAACCTTGTGGAACATCGTTGTCGAGTATTCTAGTGGTAGAGGTGTATCCATTTACCTTTTATTCAGAAAGCTTTTTATAAACGCAAGAATATGTCCTTGAACTTCCCATTTATCATGTTTATTTAATATGAGGTATCTCCATGTTTTTTATTTGGGCGGGGGATGTCCTCAACCTCGACACGGCGCGTCCCATATGGCTGATAGGGAAAGTTCCTGCAGATATGCAGGACAGGTACGAATAAGGCATTGCCAAATAAGTACCCGCGGATCAACTGAGGATATGACATTAGGCAGCAGTAATGTCATTACTGGATTAAGGCTATAGGAAGTAAAGATCCTGTAGGCTTAATTTCAGATACTCACAGGCTTCACTTAGATTATGAGTTAAGCGACTGTGATACTGCGACATGGCATAGGGCAGCAGCTATGTCATTACTGAATCAAGGCCGCAGTGGAATGATTTCTGCTGTTGGCTTGATAACAGACACTCACGGGCGGACATCACATATTGATTCAACCGGCCGTAACACTGCGATCAGGCAGGCAAGGGGAAACCACCTGATTATTCTCCCGAGAGTACACTCTAAATAAATCAATGAGTAGCGCAACACAAAAAGTAGAGATGCCATGCGATCCGGTTAACGACCGGCGCAGTCCTGATTCCGGGTCAGACAGTGTGAAATGGGCTACCGGGCACGAGTGTGCGAGCAACTAGGCCACTCGTGGTAAATGGGCGACTGGAAGAAATAACCAAACACAGAAGTTTCAAGGCAGAAAATCGATGAATATAGGGACATGGAACGTCAGAGGTCTTCTCCAAACTGGAAAACTTTACCTAGTAGAGAAAGAGATAATAAGACAAAATATAGACATACGTGGTCTAGCAGAGACACACTGGAAAGATCAAGGACATTTTAAAACACAAAACCACACTATCTACATATCAGGATCTCAAAATACAGGGCATAATGGAGTAGCCATACTTATAAACAATAGAATATCTAAATATGTCAGACAATATGAAACAAT